GTGTTTGATAATTAATTAATTATGTAATAATGATTGATGTGTTTGATAGTTAATTAATTATTTCAGTTTCGGTTTCTATTTGTAGGTAAAGTCAATTTCAATTTATTATTTATTATTATTTAACTTCACATTTTAAAATCCTTTTGTTAATATTCATAATATTCTTTTTGTAAATAATTAGAAACAAGCCTGTTGATAAAAATATTTCAACATTATAATAAAATTATATATATTATATAAAATTGTTATTATATTCAATGTAATTACCTCCATATAGATAATGAAGATTTCATCTTTACCATAGCAGGTAACAGCCATATTTAGCATTGTCGGTATATTAGAGAATAGACAGAAACTGAAATTGCACACAACATCTATATATCCTTTAGTATGTGACATACTCTAAGTTATCTCTAGCGAATGTTCGGGTTTTTGTATTTAAACAGGTTATGAAATTGTGCAAGTAAATTACGAATTTTGTAGTAACATAGAAATATGTCAGTGAAACGTCTATCCTCGGTAATTACTTAGAGCATATAAATAAACAAATTAAAATAGTTAATCTAAGAAAACAATATATATTTTTGTAATATATTTAATAACTAATTCAATTGGTAACGTAACAATTCAACTTAGAATTAGAAAGATAGTATTATGTATTGTTTCCATATATACTGAAAATCATTAAATATTATTTATAAAAATGATAAATTTTAGAGTTTGTATTACCTACCTAGACCGAACCGATGGATGAAGGGGATTGGTGCAGAATTACCAGTGGAATATAAAAAATTTTGGAAGGAATGGAAACTAACGAAACCAACTGCTGTTCATTATGTGAAACAGGAAGGTAGATACATCAGAGACGAGGAAACGGAAGTAGTGTACGTTGTTTATAATACTGTTACGCTTTCTAGAGATTTGAGATGTCTGTGTGTAAGCCGTTATCTTTAGAACGATCTCAATATATTTCTAATATTATTAATTTTATCAAGGATTTAAATGATATATCATATGTAAGAATTGTTTCATAAGAATGTGGTTTACACATAAAGGTCTTAATAATATTATTGATATTTATTACCGAACGCTTTTGAGATACGTTGATTTTAAATTAATATAAATCTATAGACGTCCAGTTCAAAATGTACCGTTGCCGCTGTTGTATCCTAAAGAACACAACCAGGGTATATGGGGTGGCGAAGCTGTAATACAAGGTTACATGAAGAAATCTAAATATCATCGTAGATTTCCTCACTTTTGGTTCCCTATGCTTAAAAAGACCATATTGTACAGTGAAGTTCTAGATAAATATATGAGAACTGTGGTTACCGATAGAACTCTGAACTTAATTCATGAACATTACGGTTTCGATCATTATTTATTAAAGGTGAATATATTAATTACAAAATACTTCTCTGTTACTTTTCAATAAGTAAAGGTTTCATTCGTTTGCAGACTCCGGCTTGTGATTTGATATCGGAACTTGCAGTTAAATTAAAACGTCAAATACTGTTAGCGTTAGTCGACAAAACTTTGTATCCAAACGATCCTGATAAAAGGGAAGAAATTTATAACAAATACAAAGAGTATTTAACAGCGGTGAGAAGCCAATCTTTAATGTTGCGTAAGATAGGTCTGCAAGAAAATAACAACTGTTTTCGTGTTCCTACGTTTAGTACACACGAGACGAAATTGAATGGTATGGTTTAACGTATAAAGAAGCGTGTCTTAAGTGGATAAAACTAAAAGATGAGCAGAACCCAGTACAACCTCTGAAATTACAATATAGGGCTGAATTAATTGCAAGTCTCCAAGAAGAGAGTAAGAAACAAGAAACCGAGAAGACAGAGTCAATGGTTGATAGGTACGTAGGAATATTATATTAGTATTTTATTTAAAGGTAATTTAATTTTATGTTTTTGCAGCACTTTGTCTTGGATATCAAAAGTGAATCCTTTTTCGAAAGATACCAAATCCAAATAAGAGATTTATATTTTTAGCTAAGTGTTATAAATAAAGAAACTACACTGTATAACAAATAATTGCTCTTTCCTTTTATATTTAACACATTACAAAGGGTTTTGTATAGAAAATTGAAACTTCCAATGTTTGTCTTATGTTCCATTTGATCGTTTTGCAACAATATAAATTTTTTTCAATCTGTGTCGGCTTACAATACACACGAAAATCAGGCAATCATCGATTACTAAATAGCTTGTGAGAAGACGTTCAGATAAATTACCTAAAACTTTCTTATCTATAGAAAATAAATAATTATGATATTGAACACTCAAATTCACCATCCTTTGGTAAGCAATTCAACGACGAAGCTATAGCTCTAGTAATATATGTCATCGTTCCAAAACTACCACTTGGAGCACTATCGTAGAAATGTTGGCAGACATATGCTGCTCCACCACAAAGAAGATTTCCCATTGCAGTTGTTTCCCGTAGATCTTTTGGCTTGGCACAACATAGGGTAGCATCTCCATCAACTTTCATCTGATTACATTAAATATAAAAACTGAGTACATCAGTAAATAATTTCATACGTACAATATTACAAAATATTAAACGTACTTGATCGTCTAAGAAGATAGCATTGGCCTTGTGAACTAACTGTTCAACGGTGATGAGTCCACCCAGTGACGAAACCACATTATATTCGGTCACTAAGGTTAATACCATTAAAGCTTCAACAACTAATTGACGATACTCTGGTTGTGGTATAGTATTCAAGACAGTTTCTACTGCCAACGCAAACTTCAGTTCACCAGGTGTCATTTCCTGTGTCAGATTTTGAGGTAGAACTCTACCTTCGATCGCTAAACCTTGGCACTGTTAAACACAGTTTCAGTTTCAATATAATTCAAACATTGAAAACTCTAATTACATTTGTACAAGATTATCAATACTCACTCGTTCTAATACTTGCCATACGCGTGGATAAAAGTCTCGTGGTACTCTGTTTAAAGCACCATCCAGTCTTCGCCTTCGCAACCATTGACCCTGTCTGTCAGGTTCTGATTCGCTACTGTCAGTTTGGTCAGGGCTCAAGAAACCTCCAATTTGTGATTTCTAAATAAACATTATAATGCTATAATAGAGTACAAACGAATACGAAGTACCCAGTGATTATCATTACCTTACTGACTCTACTTGACTTGCAACTGATCACAGAAAAATTGCCTCTGCCAACTGAACATATAAATTGATTATTCTCTAGTCGAAACATTTAGTAGAGATTTATAATAATATGAAACTAAAAAACATACCACTACTGATAGCGAATTCTTTTCCACTCATAATGTGATGCAAAAGATTCTTCATTTCAAACGGTGATAAATTCAACAGGTGTTCGGATGCTTCTTCTCCGGTACATATCAAAGTTCTGGATAATTCAGTAGCCATTACTTGGATAATTAAACCTACTCTAAGCCTGAGCATTTCGTGGAACAATTGTGGCTCTGTTCTAATAAACATTGCTAGATAGACAAGTAACTCCTGCGTTAACATAGCAGTGGACTCATCGTCTCCATATGCTTGGTGGATTAATACTCGTAATTCATTTTCAGGCAGTGGTGCAACAATAGTGTGCTCGTTAGTAGGTGGCATTCCAACTGTAACTTGTTTCTGACGTACTAGCAAGTCAGTGACCGCTTTAGCTAAATCTTCAACCCTTTTTCCCAACATTCCTGCAGTGTGACGCACAATTCCCCACATCTTCTGTTGACACGCTTTCTCGTAAAGATCTTTCAACAAATCTTTAATTAAAACTGGATGACCTTCCTCTAACATTCCAGTATTGAAGTATAAGCCTTGCGAATCCACCTAGGCATTCGAGTTAATGATTATTTTCATTGTAATAATATACAGGGTGTGTCCAGTAACTGGAACAAGTTATAACTCTGTTCTTCGTAGGGTTAGAAAAAAGTCAAAAGAAATATTCTATTTAACATGCTCTATCACAGTGCTATACTAATTTTCTTATAAATGCACTGATGCAGTTACAAAGTGCAATTGCACTTGTTTTTCAATGAATCTTTATGTTTCTTTAAATATAAATCACTTCGTTGCATCATTCTAAGTAAAAAAAAAGTTCGATG